CATCCAAACAGCTTCTTGGGCACACGACTGACAGTTCTGAGCAAACATCCCACTCACTCCCTATGCCACTGACGGCAGAGCGTTGCCTTCTCAGCAGCCTCAGCTCTGGAGCAGGTCTCTGGAAGAGCTGGGAGTCATTTTCCTATGGGCAGCCTATTTAACCAGGTGCAATGGCTGGTGTCTGCAGGGCAGTTTGATTTGGTGCCTTTTCATGGCCCTGTTTTATCTTCCCAGAGCATATCGTTAAGGCATCAAGGGAAGCCTGGAGTAATTTCCATAGTGCAGAACCCAGGACTGGATTCACAACTTCTAGCTCCCGCAGAGTGCTCATGCTGTAACCCTGAATATCCCCAAGAACATCAAACCTCAGATTTTCAGCACTGAAACCTCTGCTTGAAGCTAAAAAAGTGACCCAAATCTCATAGTGCTTCTCCTGTATTCGAATTGAAGGATGGGGGCATGACAAGCATATGAACACACATGACCAATGTATTATAATCCATGGATGTCTCTGTGGCAATATGGCAATTCTGAATGCATGGAAAATGCCCAAATATTTTAGATTGAGTGGCAGAAGAAATTACTCTCTGAGGTTTGCTAATATAGAAATCCTGTAATGCTCAGCTAAGACTACAGCGCTTTTGTCTGCAGGACTGATGTGGTCGGTGCTGACTCAGAGACTTCTCTACCATATTGCATTTTGTGGTGTGGTTGTCCCTGCAGTCCCCTCCCAAGGTTAAACCCTGACTGCTTTAGTTCTGCACATGAAGTCCCTCGTAAGGAGTAGAAACAATTCTGGAGGTTTCAAAACGCTTTGAAGACAACTGTCAGTGCTGAGCATGACACTTAGCCATCAGGGGTCAAGTAATAGAAAATGTCATGCATTTCCCTCCCCATGGTTTTCTTTTCTCTGAGAAAGAGAAGGCCCCAAATCCTAAACCTAAACCAAAACAAGAAAAAAAAAACCTCCTAAACTTTCCATTTCTTTCACAGAAAGAAAAGAGATGAGGCCAAATTCACCCCTTACAGGTAACTCCACTGTCCTTAATGAGGTTGGATGTGGAACTGATGGGGCCTGTCAAACCCATCTGTTCAGCTAAAGGAAAGGTTGGATAGCAGCATGTAAGAGGATGGAATTATGTTCCTTTTTTATTTTTATTTTTTACATCTGTGTTACTTGGTTGGATATCTTCTCCCTTTTCCCTGGTACCGCTAGACACATCCCTGATACAAACCATCTGCCTGAGGACAAACCTCATCAGAAGTGAAGAGTGAAGGGAAGGGCACCATGGATCATGGAGGTTGAGTTGGCCAGCTCCAATTTTTGGGAAATGAATGATCTTTTCCTTCTGACTATAGACTGGTGCATTGCCCAGCTCCACTGAGGTGGAGGGGAAGTTTTGACAGAAAACCATTTCCAGACAAGTACACAATTTAACTGTATACACATAGGCATCTTGTGTCATTTTGGACACCCTGCAGTCTCTGACATGTCTGTCATGTCAGGTTTAAGACTTGTGGGAGTCCTATGTCATTGAAGCAACAGTGGGATCCCAATAGGATATTGTAACCCCTTCCATTATATCATCACAGTGGATGACTAATTACATAATAAAACTGAACAAGTATGCATAGGCTTCGTTAAAAATCCCTTAAATGGGGTAGAAGTCCCCAACCACGGAGCTGTTTCAAGCCTGACCCCAGGAGTACAACTTCCAGCCAGTCTCAGCTGATGATCAGATTGTAGCTTCACCTCCTTGACTCATGGTGGACTTCACATCATCAGACTGTACCCATCTAAAGGCTCATCATCTAGTATGAGCTCATCAGCTAAAGTCAGAGGAAAGACAGAGGTACACCCAGAGGGCAATTTACCAAACATAGCTTAGATACCATCCTAGGCTATAATGAATCACCTTCTGGACTTGTTTGTTTCTTGCCATTGATCCTAGCAGAAAACTAGATAAATAGCTTAGACTAGATGACATGGCCAGATGAAATAAATTCCACTGTTGCAGTCAAAATCTGTTTGTTCACCTTAAAAGGCAATTGCTCAGCAAATGCCTAGTTTGTTTGTTTTTTTCCCCCATGCTTCCCAAAGAGCTTCACCTGCTAGTGATGTTCGGCTTGGTTCTGGTGCAAAAGCAGAAACTGTAGATGTTAGCATGCTGTGGATGGGCTGGGGTCAGAGTCCGGCTCCCATGCATGGAAGCCAAATCCTCCAACCCATTTCTTCACTGATATGGTATAAAAGAAGGAGTTTGAAACCACCTTGCTTAAAAACATTAGGGTAAAATTAGTTGTGGGTGTGACCCTGCTGAAGTCAATGGATTGACAGGGACTGTGACCTGCAATGATTTGCATCTTTGCTGTTGGGGCACCATTCACTGACAGAAGTACCTGGTGGGACGTGTCTAACATCTCTCGCTGTGACTGCTAGCACTGCATCATATTAAGTAAATCAGACGTATCTTCCCTTGTCCCATCTTTTCCAATTCATCAATGTCTTCCACTGCATATGTGGTTTTCTTCAGTGTTTGCTTTCTTGACAGCTTGTGTTTGAATATTGGTTACTGTGGCAATTTCCCCCTGCAGTGGCTTCCTTCTCTATTTGCCATAAAGATCAGATTTTCCTTTTCTCCCAGACTCTATTACAAAAATCAGTCATGCATCCATTAATTGGTCCATCTTTCTCTCAGTTTTTAGTGATCTATTGCTTTCTACCAGTTGGTGTGTGGCCATCCATTAGGTGCAATGTTTACATGTACAGATATGGTTGATTGGTTTTCTCCCCAGTTTTTTCTTTGTCTCTCTTGATCTCTTCCTCTCTCCTTCCCTCCCTTCTGTGCCTCTGCTCTCATTTCATTGCAGCTTTTTTTTGCAGAGCATTGATAGAAGTGCCTCCACCAATAGGCAAAGAGCTTGCTTGTGCCCTTGGGCACAGCCCTGAGACAAATGGGTGAGGCATGAACTGCACCAGCCTCGGAGTAGTCCCAGGAGACTCCATGACTCAGAGTCAACCCTTGGAGGCATCATTTCCTCCTGTTTTCTCTCTGATGGGACTAAGCTCTGTTTGTTCCCTGCCTCTTCTGCATACTCCCTCCTTTGGTTCCCGGGAATAAGCTGACATGCAGAGAGAGAAGAGCACTCTGATTTCTCTACATAGGTGTGAACTAGCCAACAGCCATGATTACATTGCCATGAAAAGACTCTTGTGGGTCACTGGGAATTAGATCATGCCCCATTTCCCTTCCTGTACTGAAGAGAAAAGAAAAAATGCCAATCCATTGTCCTTTTCCCAAGATAGGAACACAAAGTTATGGGTAAGGCAAAGAGGACACAGGACAAGTGCATCTGAGGCTAAACAGGCTATGACTCCATGCTTGATTACCACTTATTTATGCCAGTATCAACCAGGAATAACTCAAGCAGAGTTACAGTGCTGTAAATACCAGGGTGATGGGCTGAGATTCATGCCTGATACCCACATGGCTGAAGGAAGCCCTGATGCCCACGGGGGAGGCAAGAGTTGTTTCTGTAAACTGGCAATCTTGATCTGAAATCAGAAATAGAGCAGCATGCAAAGACGGGGAGTCAGAGGTGAACAGCAGAGATGGGGCAGCGCTGCAAAGTTGGGATTTGGCTCTGTGTCCAAAATTGCCCAAAACTCTGGGCTGGTTCAGAATCTGAGTTTTGTGCATTTTAATCTGTGCCACTTTTAGAGATGGGAAGGGCTGTAGAAATTAGGTGTGGAACAAAATTTGTCTTGAGTCTGAAACTGTTCCAGCTTGTGAGGGGTGGTGGTGGTGGGTTGGTTTACCGTCATGTAAATTAATGGGTAACAAGCCGTCCTTCAGAGTCATGTTCCTGACAGACTTGTGGTCTAAGGGTTTTGCTAAGTGCCCGGGGGAAGCCTGCATGAAGTGCAGAGAGCAGATGGACTAAGTGCACTTTCCACTGTTGGTGACCGCATCCTGTAACGAGGTGGGAGGGGGAAACGCTTTCCCTTTTCTCCTCTATGGGAACAAGCTGGGATGTTGAAGAGCTGGATGTCCCACGCCCAGCAGCGAGTGTCCAGCCCCAGGAGATTCCCTCTGCACCGCATGTTTCCAAGGAAGGCTCATTGGCTGAGCCGCATACCGGGCCACAGCTGGAGCAACATCTCCCTTCATGGGATTGTCTCCTTAATGCACACACCGAGTCCTCTTCACTTCACATATGGGGCACTGAACATTTACGTACCGTGCACATCATCTGTGTGCCAGCAGGGCATTTGCAGGAAACCATCAGCAATTCTCTCTCTTTCTCTCCCTCTCCTTCTCCCTCCCTCCCTCTCTACAGAGAATCCTGAATCCTATGTCAAAACTGGCAGAAGCTACTATGCTAAAAAGTTCACGCGAAGAGCCTGCCCACTCTACAGCTCTGTTACATATTTGTAGACTTCTCTGGTTCCAGGGCAAAAGCAAAGGAGTATTTGCATTATTTTTTTAAAAAATCATTCACTTATCTGCTTTTATTTCTTTTGCTGCTGTTGTTGTTGCTCATATTATACACAGAGTCTGGCCATTTGGGTATGTAGATAGATCCCAGAAAGCTTAGTGCTGCTGTCCAACACAGCCTCTGCCTGGCTGAGGGAAAAGGAGATACTTAGGAAGATGCAAGTCTTTCAAAGGATACTTAATCACACGAGTCACTTCAGGTGGGTGAGAGCAGAGCAAATCCATGCTTTTGCTGATGCCCTTCTTTCTGGCTCTGTGTTGTCAGCTGGTTGAAAAACCGCTGTCTCCTACAGGAGGCATCATTGGGGCATAACTTGTGTGACTGCCAGATGTACCTCAGGATAGCCCAGAAGTCATTAGACCTATTCTATCCAACCAGTTTTAGCCTTTTTTTAAGTTTTTATTCTTTTAATATCAAAAAAGTAGACTTCTCTCATGTCTGCAACCTCAGAGGAAGTAGGCTCGAATCCATTTCTCCCCTTGAAGCCCAGCGAAGGGTTTTGCCTGCTTTATTTGCACGTGTGGACATCATAAACTCGTATGCACTCTTGGCAGCGGACGTAGCAGCACCAGTGGAAGATACAGTGACATTTCTCCTTCCGTTTTTCAGTCCTTGTGTTGTGCCCACGGCCGCAGCACAAAAGATCGCAACCATCAATCCCGTGGGAAGTGACATTACAGATCCTGTCACGGGTCCCAAAGGAACCTGTCTCAGGGTTGGGCTCACAAAAGTTTGGTGAGTTCTCGTAGTAAACCAGGTCCTTCTCAGTTGGAGCCTTGAAGAAGTTGTATTTGGGCCTGAGGGTCTCAACCCAGCCACGGGATTCTCGATGTTTTTCCACCACCATTTCAGAAGCGCTATCATACTTGTCCTTGAGGTAGTCACCGATGACCCTGAAGTCTGGCTGAGACCACCAGCAGGTCTTCACTTCACAGCTGCCTGAGAGGCCGTGACATTTGCACTTAAGATGCATGAGTTCTATAATAGACTGAAAAAGAGGAGAGGAAAGGCAAAGAAGGAAGACATTAGCCTGTAATCAAAACACATATTGCATTGTGCTATTTAGTCAGGATTTCCTAAAGAATTGCAGTGTTTTCATAGATATATTTACACACTTTTGAACAAAAATCACCTTATCCTTCAGTCAATGCCCTGCACAGGTGCTGGATCTGAGGCAGATAAAACCTCTACAACTTTATTATTTTCAAACACTGTCTCTGATTCCCACCCCACCTTTTAGCATCTACCAAGTGCTTTCACTAAGGGCTGAAGTTATTTCTGTGCGTACCCACTTTTATCTTATCAATGTACATGGGTGAATATTGCCGCCCTGTCACCCAGGAACACAATTCAGACACATCTAGGCAGAGAAGTGAAGAACACAGAAATCTTCTAAAACAATGTTTTCGTAACTGAAATATACACCTGTTCCATTGGAAATTAAAGAAATATGAAATGTCCTAATGATCTAGTCCAGAATTCCATCTTTTATATATGTTTACATTAAGCAAATAAGATTCTAGCCTTGCTTGTGGCTATGTTCAGAAACATGAAATGTAATGTATTTTTTATTTTTAAGCCAGAATTACGATTTTTCTAAAACCATTTAAAAGAAAAAAATAGGAGTCCAACTTTTGATTTTGAAAGGCCTAGACTTCAACATCAACATTGTCCTGGAATAAATGGAAAGGTGATTATTGATCCCAGAAGTTTTCTATTGGCTTTTACCTCTTATGAAATTAGTCTAAAGGTTTCTAGAGGTGTTGCCCTCCAGTGTACTGAGGTGGGAGACAGCCTTATGCAACTTACTTGATAATCTGCATTTTCAGACTGATCAGCAAATTTCCAGGTACGTGAACAGACTAGTGCCAGCCTGAGTCCAAAAGATTTGCCATGAATCAGCACCTTGGTGTTCACCAGGTGCTTTCCTGTGTTATTTACGGAGTATCACCCGCCGCAAAGGAGGTTGTAATTAGCGATGAGAGAGAACCACAAAATGTTTGGTTCATATAATCATGCTGAACTTAACTTAATCAAAGCTTCTGGCATAGTGGTAGGGTTTGAGTTCATATGGGAACTAATATGAAACATTGCCTATGGCTCAGGTTTAGCTGGAAACACTTGAGTATGGAGGCCTGGAAGACCTACCCCATGAGTGCTGGCACAGTGAGAATGGAAAACACTACTGCCTTATAAAACAGTAGGATTTCAGATAATGGTGTGACATCTGCTCTCTAATCTTTGGCATCTGTAAAATGTCTGAAAATAACTCAGTGTCAAGTAACAAGACTTGCAGTAAAAAGACCTCTGCAGGCCTGTGACCACAGGGATGTTTGCTCAAAGCTCAGTTTTTCCAAGTATTCTCACTTTAAGGCCCTTCTTTCCACTCTACCCAGCTTCTCCACAATCCTATTTGTCTCATTATCTGTCCCAGCAACTGCCACCAGCAATGCACGATACCTTGGGGTACCTGGGATAATTTGGGCCAGTGCTGGAGGAAACCACATTACTGCTTGTAGTCATCTACATTGCAGACAATTTTTGTTTCTGGTGGTATTTAATTTTGAAAGGTCGTATTCCCTATTTCAGACCAGCTCTCCTGTGGTGTGAGGTGGGATAACTCCATTAGGGTTTGACGGTGTCCACCTGAGGGGCTCACACCAAAGTCCTAGCTTGCCTGAGGACAGCTGTTTCCTAGCACAGCGCAACTGTGGTGGCTTTGCTATAGCTCACTGCACAGTCATATGTCCTCCTAGACATGTGTAAGGCCTTCTGCTGAGGGAACAAGACCATATTAATCTCTTCTGATTACAGCGAGGTATCTTTCTTCCACTGAGGGATAAGCTGTCTCAAGTTTACTACATGAGAAAAAATGCTGTTATCACAGAGAAGCTGTGGCATGGTCTCTATTAGCAAGACCTTTGTGGTTCAGTTTCACAAATTGTTTCCCATAGCTTACATTCTTCTGACATTTATGGGCTCTTCTTGAGATGAAAAAGGGAATGTCCTCTTACTGGGATTGTTCCACCTTATGGAAAAGATTCACTGTGTACGATGCAGTCCCTGTGATGAGGGCAAGATTTTGTGCTCTCTGTTCCCTTATACATTTTGTTCCATGAGTGTTTGAAGTGAAAACACATTAGCTGGCTTTGGGGCATGGTCCAAGTTTAATCAGGAGGTACCAAAGTCATATTCCCTCTTATTTTCTTTAAATATTCCCTGGGAAATAGAACCGTGTTAAGAAGAGGGGTGTTGGGAAATGCTCTCCTGCTCTTCACCACCCTCAAGCCTACAGAGCAGAGTGGTGATCCCAGGAGAACGGACAGTTGCACTTAAACTAGGATTCAGTTGCCTAAACACATGCATCTAATGCCATTGGTGAGCTCCAGGGGTGTCTAAGACATCAGTCCCAAGATGGCAGAGGACCTGCAGGAGACACAGTCTTCCCCAGTAGCAGCCCAAGGAGAGGCTGGATACTTCAGGATATCTCAGTTTATACTTAAATACATTTGCTTAAGCAGCTGAATCCTGCCCATAAACCCTGGTCCATCTCTCTTAACTTCAGGTGTCTACAGCACGGACATTCTGGATCTCTGGCTGTACAGCTCACCTTCTTCCTACAGCCAACGGAGGGGAACAGGCACAGTCAGGGCATCATTTACTCAGGTATTTCAAATGTCTCCATCAAGCTGGGATGAAATCCCATCCTAGACCTGTCTGTCTTGATCCATTCTCTATAAAAAAGGTCTGGACAACTGACTCCAAAGTAGACATTTACATCTGTGTGCGTGAATTTACTTATAACTTTCATAGATTGGGTACATCGATCACCTCCCTGACAAGAACTATCATAGGGGAGGTATCATCGTTTCATGATGTAAAACTGCCCAGATTTATGTTTGGTTATTCCCCTCAGTTCCCTCCCACTGTTCATTATGGCAGGTAGAAAAGTTTAAAGGGAGATAAGAAAGGTGAAACTAAATGTCCTTACGGTCCTTCCAGCTTCGTTGTTGTGCCTGTTCATGGCAGACCGAGCGTCTGGTCTGTTCTCTCGGGCGTCTGCAAACTCCCGAGACACCATGCTCCCAAACTCCACGTCCTCGCTGCAGCCCCCCCATTTCCAGCCTTCCCCAGGAGAGCCCTTGTGGCGGGTGTCACAGCCGCAGATGGTGGCTGAGCCTTCGGCACAGGATCTGGTCACTGCGAAAGCCACTCCAGCAGAGGCAATGGCATGCACAAAGGCCGATTCCCTGGTAGCTGTGAAAGAGAGAAATCAATGAATAGTGGCCAGTGAAGGGACCACTTCATGCCACCACATCATGATCACGATCATGCCACCACAGGGCATGATCAGCCCTGTGAACACCTTGTCTCGAGGGCATGGCAGAAGGCCAGGAAACTCTCCTCTTCCCTGTGGTCCGGCTTGGACCTATTCCAAAGACATTTTCTTATACGAGGAAATAAGCTCCTATGTAGACAAGACCAGGCTTGATTCAAGGCCACTGAGGTCAGCCAAGAAGTTTCGACTAAAGTCCTCCTAAGGTCTTAGGATAGGGCCATGGCAAAACAAAAAGCAGTGCAAACCTGAGTTTCAGGGGACATATAGAATATTCTGTATGGTACTTTGCAGGCAATGCACCACATAGCCATACCCTGAGCTGCAGTCTTGGCTTCAGATGCACAGAATTTGGGCTATGTTCCCATAACATGGAAAATGCAGATCTATACTTAATGACAGCCTCCATCCTTAGTGGTGGGACCAGCACCAGGTAAAGCACCTCCTCCTCCTCGACTGGGAGAGCTGCTGATGGCTGGAAGGTAGGAAAATGCCAGGATGGCCAGATACTCCCCAATCCTCACTATGTAAACTAAACACTGTCCCCACCCTCCATCCTGAGGCCACCTTCTTTTTCCTAGGCTGTCTAGCTCACTTAGAGATAGTGTTCAATATATGACATCTTGCATCAATGGAAAGTTTTGCTCACCTGCCTAATTAAGGCCCCTGCCAAGGGGACTGGAAATGAGCTTTCTTTTTCTGCCCATTGCCTCAGGATGGTGGGTGGGATCAGCCAAAAGATGTCATGGTTAGGGACTGAGGAGCCTTAGTCTCTGTGGAGATCTTCCTTCATAGCCTTTCACCCTAGCTGGAGCTGGGTGGGGAAGGGCAGCTCAGCATTAGCCTGGCTTTCCTGGATGCCAGTGCTTTTTCTACACTGTGCCAAAATGAAAACCAAACATTTCAAACTGCTTTGCAAATGGGGAATATACCAAAATATCAATTTTTACTCCCCCCACCCCACAGTTTTGGTCTCATTCTGTTTCTTCACTCACTAGAAATGACTCTGAAGTTCAACACCACTCCTCAGAAAACATGACTGCAATGTTTTTTGGCTTCAGCAAAATGGCATTTTTATCATGAACAAGGTTATTCTCAAACCCTTGAGGCAATTCTAAGAAGACACAACAATTCTGATAACTGGCCTCCCTTAACCTCCTATACCATTCCCCACACGAGCTCACCTCATGCCTATAGACCAGTTAGCCAAGAAAGTATGTTGTCTCTGACACCTTTCAGATGATTAGGCTACGACAGTGTTGAAATATGAATGGATCTATAAAGGCAGAAGGTCAGGCTTTCAGTTGATGCAGCTTCACCAGCTTCTATTGAGCTTTGCATCAGCTGATGAGGTGCCTACTCAAAACCACTCAAACCTTCTCTGTACCATATTTTGCTGATCTGAGCTTTCTCTGGGCATTTTGGCTTAATCTTTACTTTCTAGATGCTTCCAGGCTTTACTAACGTGAAGAGAGTTTAATATGCCAAGCCAACAAGCCAACATGTTCTCGGGGAGAAATCAAAACTGCATGCTTGCAGAGCAGTCCCGTCTGGATTGAAGGCTTAAGCAAGAATTTGTGCAGCACTGCTTTGCTTTGGGAAGACTACCAAATACAACAATATGCAAATCAAATAATGTGCATGAACTTACAAGCTGAAGGTATGAGCAATGTCCTGGAACATGTTGTCAATACGCATCGTGAGGTTAGTAAGCCACCGAGGGCTAGAACCAAAAAAGTAAAATGCAGGAACCCTCAGTTCCACAATGTGATTTTGAAAAACCCTTGTTCAGCATCTGTCCAGCCTGGAGGATCCCAGCTTCCTGCAAATGGTGGCCATGCAGTTCCTGAGCTGTGTGAAAGTTCAGCTTTTGAGCATGAACAGATGAGTCCAGTTCTAACAGGACTGGGGACTTGGCGTCTTGCACTTGCCTAAGCTCAGATGGAATCCTGAAACCAAATATTGAGGGTGAGGAGCTTTGTATGATGTCTCCAAGGACACTGAGGACCAGCCCTGGCGTCTGTGAAAGGTAAAGGCTTCTCATAGAAGCCAGTCAGATAAGATGGTGGGATGAATGTCATTACCCTCTGGTAGGGAGGTAGAGGGTATAGTGCCTGACCAGAGAAGAGCTGACACACCTTCCACCTCCTCCCATTGTGGTCTAACTAATCTTGAAACCTTTTGATATGCTGCTATGCCTTGGGCAGGAGAGGAAGATGATAATTCTTCTTCTTCTTCTTCTCCCTTCTGTCTGACAGCTGTAATGGCTAAAGCACGTTGCTTTGGTAGAATCATAGAATCATAGAATGTCCTGAGTTGGAAGGGACCTGCAAGGGTCATCGAGTCCAACTCCTGTCCCTGCATAGGACAACCCCCAAAATCACACCAGGTTAGGTCTCATCTCTTGGGAATCACCCCTTCTTCTGCTCAGGAGGAGAGACCTAATCCAGGCCTTTGGCTATTTGGGAAGGTGTCATAGGTGCTGAACTGATGTTTGCAAATGCCATGGAGAGCCGCTGTGCCTTGCTATGCTGGCACTGAAAAGAAAGCATCTACAGCCATAGTGTCTGTGCAGAAAACCTTCCCCTGTGAAGTATGAGAGGGGCGGCCTTGGCTTAGGAGTCCACAGGTTGTGGATCCCACCTGGGCTTAAGCAGGAGCCATTAGCTCAGAACAGAGGTGTTTCTCTGTGCCTACAGGTGCAGAGCTCACCAAAACCCAGGGAGCTTCAGGCAGCGCAGACAGAGGGTCCGCAGAATTTCTGCATTTGCCAGGACTTGGTTGCAGCTGAACAAGGAGTTACAGGAGGACAGCTTTGGTTTTAGATACCCAGTCCTAAATCCCAGGTCCGTTACCTAAACTCTCCACTGTTGCTAGCCCTTACTGAAAGCCTACAGCTCCAGGAGGGTATTGATAGGATTTGCCTTAAGAAGCACCGATTATACTCGGCTCTCCTCTTCCCAGAAAGAACCCAATGCCTTTTACAGCCTGTATACGCCGTAATCACTCCCCTGCTTTTGAAATGCAGCCACCCCTGGGGTGGAGCACAGCCACCACTTAACAGCACACAACAGGAAGCAAATAGCATTGTATCTGATCGTAACTACCTGGGGAATGCAGGCAGGCAGAGCAAAGAAGCTGAGATCTGGCCCCGGGCACTGAGGTTAGGAGTTTGTCTCTTGAGAAAGTTGCAGCCGATCTCTTAATGACTCCACGAAATTAGGGCACTGGGTTTAGATCTCTTACCCCTATCTTAAGGCACCGAGTTCAATATTGACGCAGATGGAAGACTGCCATCGCGTGAATCACGTCCTGCCACCTCCTAAGTTATAGGACTGTCCTCCGATTACTAAGCAGACCTGATCCTGCTGAGCTCCGAAGAGGTCCCCAGGTTGTAGCCGGAGGCGATATGGCTGCAGGAATGGAGAAGGAGTGTATAGAGATACAGATAAGCAGAAGGAAAGCATGCACTTGTAATGGAAATGAGGGGTTATTAAGGTGCCATATAAAAATGCAAGAGACTTAGCAAAGATAACAGGAAAGTGCAGTATATTTGTCAGGTCGCCTCATTCCTCTGGGTGGTTCTGGTAGCAGGAGACAAGCAGCTCGTTCTGACCTGAAGAGAGCTTCTGGAAAGTCATCTGGCAAGAGAAGGTTAATAGGGACTAATACCTCATGGGGATGTTGACTTAAGAGCATTTTAACCACTTTGTTTTCAGTGCAGCACAAGGTCACCAAAGCTCTGACTTCAGCTTGTTTAATTCCTGCCTGCTCCTGAGTTTCCCTGCAGGGCTTAGAGACTTGGATGGCTGGTGCTTCAAGGTACCCTGTTCTGGACCCTTTTGGGGGGGTTGGCTATCAATGAAAAAGGTGCTGAGACTTACAGAGGGCCTTTAGGGATGCTTCGTAGATGCCCCCTAATGCAGAGGTCTCCAAGTCACTGGTCACTTCTGGAAATTGTTTCCTAAGGAGCCCGGTCTGTGAAGCTGAGAGCCTGAATGTCCTATATAGAACACCTCTGACCACCCTGTCTCAGCAGCAGAAATATCTTGGGATCCAAAAACACACGGCCAAGCTGTATCAATATGCGAAGTCGGAGGCCTGAGGATGAGGTGACCTAAGATTTGATTTCCTGCTTTCACAGGGCTTTTTAACGTGACTTTGGTCAAGTCTTTTAGTCAGTCTGTGCTTCTGCTTCCTTATCCATACACCTGAGGAGAATCCTGCTTATCTCCTCAGGAGCCTGCAATGCTAAGTTCAGTGATGTCTTCAGAATCATGGGCAGAAGGTGTTGGAGCCGAACAGAGGGTCATCAAGTTGTGGGATGAGGAAGACAAATGAATAACCGCATAGATATCTCTACTGTCTAATATATGAAACCTGCTCTCATGTGTTCTTCTGCCCAGACAGTGATTTATTTTCCCTGAATCTTTCTCTGAATGACCAAATGATTAACCCCAGGTCAGGTAGATATCCCAGATATGTGGGAGAAAGAACTACGGTGATGCAGAAGGATGAACATAATGGTTTATTTTGGTCTTAAAAAGCTACAGTCCCTTTTTACGACCTTTGTACCATAGTACCGAGCCCTGTTGTCCCCACTCTTGACACCCTAAATGTTTCCTTCCTCCCTGCACAGTGGTCTGGTGGTAACAGCAGGTTTCTGGGACAGGGCAATGCAACCCACCTTCAGATGTGTTGGCAGCTGAAGTTGCAAGTCCTGTGTCCTGGACTACAGCTCAAAGAACTAGGTGGCATTTTAGAAAGGGGGCACTGCTGTTTCCACTGACTGCTCTTTAAAAAGCAGTGAGATCTGTGCGGTCTAAGAAAGAAAGAAAGAAGGAAAGAAAGAATGAATGAAGGAAGGAAGGAAGGAAGGAAGGAAGGAAGGAAGGAAAGAAGGAAAGAAAGAAAGAAAGAA